TACAGGGTGGGCCATTTTAATTTATACAGTCGATTTTTTAAAAAACTAAAAGAGATATGAAAAAATGTTTCAGACAAACATTTTTTCATATCTCTTTTAGTTTTTTAAAAAATCGACTGTATAAATTAAAATGGCCCACCCTGTATATTGCAAAAGAGAGTCCTGGACAAAATCAAATTAATTAATTATGGCGAATAACAGAACTCTGATCATTGACAACCTCAAAGTTTGCCATGTAAATTGCCAGTTTCTAGTTGCGCACCTGGACGAGTTTAGGACTTTCTTCAGGTACTCTGGATATCACATAATTTGTCTGTCCGAGACCTGGTTGCGTCCCGAGGTCACGAATGATTTCGTGAATCTCGATGGCTACCAGCTCCACAGATGGGACCGCGTGGGCCGCGGAGGGGGGGGAGTGGCCTTCTATCTGCGGGAGCCCTTGAGGAGTAAGATCCTGAAATGCTCCGCTGAGAATTACTGCCACAACCCAGAATTCCTGCTGGCCGAGATCCACTTCAAGAACTCAGCCAAACTCCTTCTTGCAGTGGTCTACCGCCCACCTCACTGTGGCAATCTACAGGAACTCTTTGATACCTTCCGAGATCTTAGCGTTCTTTACTCGCACTCTGTCATCTTCGGCGACTTCAACGCTGACCTCTCTACGGCCTCCTTCGATACCGGGCGGGTCCTGGACTTCGTGGACTGCGCCAGTTTGTACTTGATACCGTATACCAACACCCACCATACCAGGTCATCCTCCACGTGGTTGGACCTTTGTATTGTCGACGACTCTGACAAGGTCGTCAGCTACGGACAGCACGATGTGAGCTTCCTCTCCTCGCACGATCTTATACACATCACCTACAAAATCAAGGTCGATCGAACTCAGGCCAAGGACATTTGGGCAAGAGATTTTCGGACCTTTGACGTCGGGGAGTTCACCAGGGACCTACTGGCGAAGAACTGGAACAGGTTCTATGAGGTCGATAGCGTCGATCATAAGGTCGAACTCTTCAACTCCTTCCTCTTGGAGAGCTTCGACTTGAGCGCACATGAGCGCCTCATCAGGTCCCGCAAGCTTCCGGCACCCTGGCTCAGCGAGGACATCAAACGCAGGATGCGCGAGAGGGACAGGGTCAGAAGACAGTGGAGAAGACATAAATGCGACCGACTACACAGCTTGTTCAAGGATCTCAGGAATGAGGTCCAGATCCTCGTTAGGAATGCTAAGAAGAGCTACTTCACCAACTTCTTCAGCAATTGTAACGACCCTGGCACTGCATGGAACGAGCTGAGACACCTGGGTATCATCAAATCTAAGAACTCAGCAAGACCACTACCATGCTCAACTGAGGAGCTTAATTTATATTTCTTCTCCACTGGCGACCGAGGGGAGGCTCTTGACTCTGTGTTGCCCTGTATTGGTGGCGCGGGCCTGGACGAGGACAAGTTCTTCTGGAGCGGCGTGACACCTGAGGAGGTTGTTTCCGCACTCTCTGGCGCGAGCTCTCGGGCTAGGGGCATCGACGGACTCCCTAGCCGACTACTGCGTATCGCTCTTCCCTGTCTTCTGCCTGAAATGCTACACATCTTCGAGTCCTCTTTCACGCTCAACACCTTTCCGACTTTGTGGAAACGTGCGCTGGTTGTGCCTCTGCCCAAGGTTCAGGTACCTGAGGCTCCTCAACATTACAGGCCTATTTCCATTTTATGCAGCATCTCTAAGGTCCTTGAGAAGATCGCGGCCAGGCAGATCACAGCATACTTGGAGCGCCTGGATCGTCTTGATCCGTTCCAGTCTGCCTACAAGCGTGGTTTCTCCACTCAGACCGCGCTGATCAGGGTGCTGGACGACGTGAGATCTGCCGCTGACAAAAGGATGGTCACAGTATCCGTCTTCTTCGACTTCAGCAAGGCCTTCGACTGCGTCTCTCACAGACTGCTTATCACCAAACTGGCAGCCCTCGGCTTTTCAAACTCTGTTCTGCACTGGCTCGGCTCATACCTTTCCGACAGATGTCAAGCAGTGAGAGATACCTCGAGTGGCAAAGTGTCTTTCTTCATAGAGATGGGAAGCGGAGTGCCTCAGGGCTCCGTTTTGGGACCACTTCTTTTTTCATTGTTCCTCTCCGACTTCAGGCATGTTCTTCAGCACTGTAAATACAATTTCTACGCCGACGACCTGCAAATCTATCTACACAGTGAACCTAATGACATCCATAACTCTATTCTCTTGATCAATGAAGACATTGAGCGGATCATCTTTTGAACCTTGGAAAGCAAGCTGAGACTCAATCCCGGAAAGTCCAAGGCTGTAATTTTCGGTACTGCGAGATACCTCAACTCCATCCTCGCTGAAGATCTTTCAGCCATAAGAGTTAACGGTGTGGAGGTCCCTTTCTCCGACTCCATTGACTATCTGGGAGTCCGGTTAATGAGCAACCTCTCCTGGGAGGGCCATGTCAGCAAGATCGTTAAGAAAGTCAGTTGCATAATACATCAACTGAAACTCTGCAAGGATCTTTTCCCCAGATGTGTACGTCGCTCTCTCGTCCAGACACTTGTATTGCCTCATTTCGACTACTGCTGCGTACTCCTGATTGATATTACTGGCGTGCAAAATGCCAGGCTTCAGAGATCGCTGAATACGTGTGTACGTTTCATTTGTCAGTACAGGATTGAGGAGCACATAACACCCTACTATACCGAGCTCAATTGGCTCAAAATCAGGGAAAGAAGAACATATTTCATTGGTTGTCTACTTTTCCAAATCCTACGCACCGGTGCTCCCCTGGTGCTCGCCCGCGAGTTTTCATACAGAAGAGCTGCCTCTCAGCGGGACACAAGAGCGCCCTCCGATCTCCTCTGCACCCCTTTGTGCAGGACCGAGCTCTTTAGGAGGTCATACAGGAGTTACTCTGTAAATCTCTGGAACGACCTTTCACAGAGTTTAAGGACCGCCGTCACTCTCCCCGCGTTAAAAAACGAACTCTTTGCCGCCCTGCTCGATAGTCTTCTCACACCAACATGACCTCTCTAGCTGCGGTCTATGCTCTCGCTCCGTTCTCACCTTGCTGCCTAACAGAGTCACTTCGCCGCTTAGTCGCCTCGATCTGTTTTCTGTATTCTTGCGCCCATCATCTCGCATTGTACATACCTCTCATTACTGCTCGCTCTCTTCATCCATCACTTAATATCAACTCATTCTCATACCACATCACTCAAATTTTTCTTTTTTCTTTATTCTCTTTAAACCACTTTTGTTAAAATATGCTATACTTTTAAATCTAGTACACTCCTGTATCTTTTTGTTTCTACGCTTTAGGGAATTTGTCCCAGGGCGCCAATAAACGTCTCTCTCTCTCTCTCTCTCTCTCTCTCTCTCTCTCTCCCCCTCCCCCTCCCCCTCCCATAGGAGAAACTCAATTGTCAGCCATTAGGCGAATCTATGTCGGCCATTTGGAGGGAGCAAGCCCGTCCTTTGACGAACAACGTTAGTCTTGCGGCGAATCTTTGGTTTGCCCGAAGGCGAAACCAATGTCAGCCCGAAGGCGAAGCCAATATGCGTTTATGCGTAAATACAGTAGGACCTGAATTTACCTTGTAATTTTTATAGGCGAAAGTCTGAAGTTATGTTCAACGGGATTGCCCCTTTTCGGTGGATAAATATCACGATTTCCTGTTCGCTCTCCAAGGAATGCAGTCGTCACGGTTTGCAGTCGTCTTCAGTCGGATCTCTGATCCCTCGTACAGAGAATTCGGAACCGATTTTCAAAGGAAGCGATGTCACGACACTCAAACCTCGATACGAAAAACAACCGATTCTAAAACAATCGTTGCTATCCGAGACCTCGTTACCAAGCGGTGGTGTCCGGTGCTAATATATCAGGAGTCGTAGATGCTTATTGACAGTATTTATTATAAAGATATATACATGGCTCGTAGGAGCGAGGTCTAGCTTAGATGCTGGCTGATACGACACTGGTTCGCAGTCGGCGTCGCCGCTTAGCGCTACAGCCGCGCCAATACGTACATAGCACGTGACTCCGCGATGTCACATATTTCAATACATTACAACTCTCCCGCCGTTTTAATTCGAATTCTGTTGAGACGTGGAGAGCGGCGCAAAGTCGGCTCATCCGCTTTACCTTTAATTATTTGATCAACATGACGCTTTTGAATTACATTTTTATCGGTTCGTACACATATGTAGATGGCGAAGTTTGTTTCACAATTTTACCGGCCGTTCGTTTATCGGCTCTTACACTGTAATCATTTACCATAACGTCATCGCCTACAGCTATCTCTATTTTGCGTTTACCAGCCCTATTACCGATCTGTGCACGTTGCTTATCTTCAACAGTTTCAGCTACGTTCGGCTTCAAAAGATCAAAACGGGTTCTCGACTCGCGACCATACATCAAGAATGCTGGACTCCTACGTGTAGTACAATGCTCGATACTACGATAATCGTACAAAAACATATCAACAGCTGTGTCCCCTTGAGAGACAGCGTCTCTCCCCCTTGAACGATTTTAGTGACTTTATCTTTAAATGTTTGCACAAAATTTTCAGCGGCCCCGTTAGTTGCCGGATAGTGTGGAGGCGAATAAGTATGTTTTACTCCATTTTTTTATCAGAAATTCGTGAAATTCTACACTTCTAAATTGTGGTCCTCCATCTGTAACACAATGTAATGGCAAACCAAATCTCGCAAATAAACCTTTAAATTTCTCAATTAGTCTGTATGCCGGTAAATATATCGATGAAGGGAGCCAACCCCGATGACCTTGACCTTGACATATGTTGTCAAGGTCGCCCTCCTGAGTGACCTTGAAGAGGTTTTAGCCGTCGCTCGTAGTTCGTTAAAAAGTTATATGCATACAAAGTTGATTAAATAAAACATAATTTTACGAATCATATACAAAATGTACAAGTAATAGTTTTCGAGAAAAATGATGGTCTCTAAATTTTATATCTTTCCTCCTATCTAACAAGTTTGATTCAATCTACTATAATTTTTATTTGGTCAGAGTGGAATCTAATAACCTGTGTATAAAACTTGAAATAATAATTCTTTCTGACAAGTATTAATTTAATTTATAAAAATATCAATTTAAAATATGTTTAACAAAAGAAATTGGTGTGGAAACTGTATATAATATATTTCAGGAAAAGTGGTATAAAATGTTTATTATGGTGACAAAGAATATTGGTATAAAATGTTTACGTTGGGGACATGTCAGTCATATGTCAATTATATAATTTGGAGACAGTCTCCATTCAATGCCTTTGTTCAAAAAATCTCAAAGTATGCAATGACTATAAAATTTTAAATTTTTCTTTACTTATTGCTCTATAAATAAATTTTGCAGTTGCACGTAGTATATGAAGTTCCACAGCACTAATTAAACGAATAAAATAGGCATATCCCAAAATATGCTTTGTGCACATATATATATATATATATATATAGCTTTCCAAAAGGCTATAATAAACTTAGTTTTTGTTTAAAATTGCTAGTTTCATATATGTGATGTACGGAGAGAGAATTAATTTTCAATTTCGAATATATATATATATATATATATATATTATATATCGCAACCTCTCTCTCTCTCTCTCTCTCTCTCTCTCTCTCTCTCTCTCTCTCTCTCTCTCTCTCTCTCTCTCTCTCTCCCCCTCTCTCTCCCTCTATATCTCGCTCAGGCTCTTGCGCAATAGCGCGCACTCTTGCATAAACAAGTTCATTCTTGTGCTCTCTCTTTTAAGCGACAGATATAATGAAATTTAGGCACAAAGTTATAATAAAGATTATAATTTTTATTGTACAAACATTAAAGATTTTACAAATATATTATATAAATTAAATATTTTATTAATTCAAATATGTAAATTCCATTTAATACTAGGATTTTTCATGATCATCAAACTCATGGTTGATCTTTCTTTTCCGTTCACGACGTTTAATATTCTTGATCGGTTTATCGCCTCTCTCTCTCTCTCTCTCTCTCTCTCTCTCTCTCTCTCTCTCTCTCTCTCCCCCTCTCTCTCTCCCTCTATATCTCGCTCAGGCTCTTGCGCAATAGCGCGCACTCTTGTTGG